CTATGTTAGGGATCATTAGGGAATAAAACTGAAAACACCAACATTGCAAGGTCCTTCCAAATAAATGGTCACATTCACACCTGGATTATCATGCACATTTCTGTTAATAACATTTGAAAAAGGGTATTATAGAGCAAGGAAAAGGGCAACAAGGAGCAACCAAAATAATCTTCAATACCTTCTCTATGAAAAAAGAATAGAGCATTTTGGCTTGGGAAAAATTGATGGAAGGGAAGCATGACTGAGATGTATAAGTAGTTCTTGATTTATAATCATTTGTTTAGCGACCATTTGAAGCTACAATGACAATGAAAAAAGTGACTTATGACTGGTGCTCCCACTTAAAACCATTGTAGCATCCTCATGGTTAAGTGATCAAAATCCAGGCGCCTGGCAACCAGCATGAATTTTGCAATGTTTCTGGGGTCATATGATTGCCATTTACAACTTTCCCAGCTGGCTTCGGACAACAAAGTCAATGAGAGGAGCTGGATTCGCTTAACGACAATGTGATTCACTTAACAACTGCAATGATTTGCTTATTCATTGCAAGAAAGGTCATAAAATGGGTCACAATTCACTTAACAACTGCTTTGGTTAGCAACAGAAATTTCCTATTGTGATCATAATTTGAGGACTATCTGTATACACATACATGGACTGGAAAAAGTGGACCAAGAGAAAATTTTTCCTCTTTTTAACTATTAAAACTAGAGATCATCCACTGAAACAGATTGTAAGAAATGTAGACATTTATTCTTCAGACCTAAGTACCCTGTGGCATTCATTTCAAGATGTGTGATGGTCACTGAGTTGGAAGGTTTTAAAGAAGAGGAGAAATTCATGGAGAGCAGATCTCTCAAGGGCTATTAATGTTAAGCTACAATGCTACTGCCCAGTTAAGGGCAGCATACCTCCAAATGCCAGTTGGAGAGAGATCCTTTCTTTTTTGTAAGTGCTCCAGAGGCAACTGGTTGGACCTGATAAGAAACAAAATACTGGATAAAGATAGATACAGGCCTGATCGAACAGAGGTATTTTTATGTAGACCTAGCCATTCAATCTATAGCCCACTGTTTCTTAATCTTGGCAATTTTAAAATGGGTGGACTTAAGCTCCCAGAATTCTCCAGCCAGCAAGTTGGCTGGGGAATTCTAGGAGTTAAAGTCCACCCATCTTAAATTTGCCAAGGTTAAGAAACACTGCTATAGGATTTGCAGTTACATGTTGATTAGTTTTCCTAGGACTCGCTCCTATATGCAACTCCACAGTGCTTTGCTCTTGTTTGAACTCAGGAATTTTTAAGAAGCAGATCTGGAATGTGTTTAGGGGTGAGAGGGACAAAAGGCTGTCAACAGATATACTGTGAAAACATTTTCAGCATATTACAGGCGTGTAGTTATAAATCAGGCACAAGGAGAATAATCCAAATCCTATTAGTCAAGTAAAAAAAACAATTATTGATTTCCATGGTTCTGGTTTGTTTCCAGAACCTTCTGATGAAATATTTGAAAACACACATGCATAACATAAACACTAATTTACATTCTGCGGTTCATCTTCAAAAGTGGCAATAAATTTTTTATCCTCTACAGGCCAACAGTTTTGAATCATGACTTTAATATTGTAAAGTTTAAAATGGTTTAATTCAGACTCTAACTCAGAAATCTGTCCTTACAAGGCAATTTTTCCTGAATGAAAAACTCAAGTGGCCTATAAACCAGTTCACATGCATTAAACAAGTATCAAACTTTTCCACAGATCTAGCAACAACCCCCACCCCCAAGTCTTATATACATATCAATCAGATTATTCTTTTTGCAGGTAAATAATGTTATTATTTACCTGCAAAAGGTAAATAATGTTATTATAAGACCGCCTCCTACCAAATATCTCCCTTCGACCAGTCCGCTCCCACAGAGAGGGCCTCCTTAGGGTACCATTGGCCAGCCAATGCCGGCTGGCGACCCCCAGGGGGAGAGCCTTCTCTGTGGCAGCTCCTGCCCTCTGGAATGACCTGCCCCCCGACCTA